TGGTACATGATAAGCCTCAGTACATATTTGGTAACTGAAAAAAAACAACAACAACAATCTAGGTAACTTTTTTTTTTTTTTTTGAGACAGAGTCTCACTGTGTTGCCCAGGCTAGAGTGCCATGGCATCAGCCTTGCTCACAGCAACCTTGAACTCCTGGGCTCAAGCAATCCTTCTGCCTCAGCCTCTAAGTAGCTGGGACTACAGGCATGCACCACCATGCCCAGCTAGTATTTTCTATGTATTTTTAGTTGGCCAATTAATTTCTTTCTATTTTTAGTAGAGACGGTGTCTACGCTCTTGCTCAGGCTGGTCTCGAACTCCTGACTTTGAGCAATGCGCCCGCCTCGGCCTCCCAAGAGCTAGGATTACAGGCGTGAGCCACCGCGCCCGGCCTCAATCTAGGTATCTTGATGTTAAATCTAGAATTCTTCCTCTTTACCAGGCTATATAGAGCTTTGTAGCTTCCAAATCTCCGACATATTCATGGTTTATTTTATCTTTACATCATCCTCGTGAAGTGAGCAGGAAATAATTGCTATCTTTATTTTACAGAGGAAAAATCTGAAGGTAGAGATGATGAGTCTGGCTCAAGGTCGAATAGAGGCTTTAATTAAGTCTATCTGACTTCGAAATGTGCTGCTTCCATGGGTAATCTCCACCCCCATATCCAGCCCGAGATGAAACAAACAAACAAAATATTAATATCAGAGGCTGGCAGAGATTCTCAAAAGGCCTAAAAATGAAGGGTTTGGAAATCCATTTAATTTTCTCTAATCATGGGGCTATTGCAAATAAGACAAATGTTGCTGAGAGAGTTTAAGGTCAAGGAAAACTCCTAGAGGCTTAAGAGTGAGAGATTCCAGCTTGCAAATGTCTGGGGAGCTCCCCGCCGACCGCCCGCCTCTCCTCCCAGTGAGCAGCTTCTTCTACGGTGGCTGGTGGGCCCAAGAACTGTGCCAGGTGCCCTGGGGGGCAGAAGGTCTTTTGTCCGGTTCAGAGGGTGGAGGTAGAATCTTCCTGGGGCTAAGCTCCTCAGCTACCTACTGCCAGAGACTCGAAGCAGGTGTAAGAATTGCATTTTAAATTCTCAGTGACCACAATGCTAATAGCCAGGTGATTTGAGTCTGGACTAGACCATTTCCAATAGGATCGCCTTGTGTGCCCCGGCCCCCCCCCACTCCAGGCTAACCTCTATCTCAATGTGGGTTTCGTCATTCCCTTGTTTTTATCACATGTGTTTCTGATAAACATGTGCAAAGGTAAACCATTCGGTTTTGCTTGATTTTCAACTTTCTGTAAATGTTATACAACACGTCTTCTTCCCCTGCTTGCTGGCTTCCACATGCTTCTGAGATTCATCCCATTGATGTGTGTGGCTTCAGTTTATTCATTTCCACTGCTGTGAAATTCCATTGTTTGAATATACTGCACCACATTTTATTTATCCAATTTCCTGTAGAAGGATGTCTAGGTCATTTCCAGGTTTTTGGGGGATTTTTTGCTATTACAGACAATGCTACAAAGAAAATTTTTTGTATTATTATTTTACTTTTTAATATGAAGGGGGAGTCAGGTTGTTTTTCTTTTTCTTCTTCTTTTTTTTTTTTGAGACAAGACTCCTACTCTGTCATCCTGGGCTATAGCTCACTGCAACCTCAAACTCCTGGGCTCAAGGGATCCTCCTGCCTCAGCATCCTGAGTAGCTGGGACTACAGGTGTGCACCACGACACCTGGCTTATTTTTTCTATTTTTAGTAGAGATGGGATCTCGCTCTTGCTCAGGCTGGTCTAAACTCCTGAGCTCAAGTAATCCTCCCTCCTCAACCTCCCAGAGTGCTAGGATTACAGGCGTGAGACGCTGCGCCCGGCCCAAAGAAAATTCTTGATCGTGTCCTCTGGTGCACCCGACAGAGTTGTATATGTGCGGAGCTGGAACTGCAGGGTCCCAGAGCCTGTTTGTGGTGCATTTTATTCAACACCTCTCTGAAGTAGTCGTACTAGTTTACTACCTCGGACTCTCCAAGCTAGACGAGGGTCTTTTGAGGGGGCCAGTGTTGGGCTTAGGAAAGGGGGCCTCCAAGCTGTCAACTCACTGGCAGGCCTTGAGATTAACCTTGAGAGGTATCTACCCTGAGCACAGTCATTTACGTGGTAATTCACGGAGCGGTACGTGCACTTGATAGTTTATCTCCAGAGCTGAGCCTGGAAATACTTGCAAACGCTTGCTGTTGTTTGGCCGACATCCCAGGAGAAAACTGGCCTCTCCTCTGCCACAGGAGAAGCAAGAGCAAGTGAGGCAATCTCACCCCATCTGGGGGACGTGGCACCTCTGCCAGGGCAGGTGAAACCTGTGCCCTTCTCTTGCGGCGGAATCCGACCTTGTCAGTCTCGGACTCAAGGCCACGGTGTGACGGACTGGCGGCAGCTAGGTCCCGGTTGGGATCCCGCCCCTCCCTGCTTGCTCTTCCTCCTTCTCTCCCCCCTCTTCCTTCTACCCATATTTGCTTTCCTCCTTTTAAAATTTTGATTGGATCATATATATTCAAAGAGTTGGAGATTCAAAGTGTCAAGTTATACAAGGAAGAGACTGGCCCCCACTACTGACTTCTCACTTGCTTGGTCCCTTTGATGAAAGCTAGTCATTTTTATTCATTTCTTATACATCCTTCTAGAGCTTTCTTTACGTACAAGCAAAAATGAATATATGGTCTTATTTGGACTTCCTATGATAGAGAGGAGAGCACTTTATACACGTGATTCTGCAGTTGCCTTTTCACATCATGACACATCTTGGGTGTCAGTTCCACTTGACAGAACATGTCATCATTGTTTTTAATAATGGCGGTGCAATATTCTATTGTATTCCACCAGTATTTATTTATCACTTGCTGTGCACCAGTGCTGGGTGCTGGGGTTGACATGATGACTCAGAACAGGCCCTGTCTTCAGGAAGACCACAGTCTAAGGGCGACAGACGGACAATTGCAATGACGTATTGCAGGCACCATTCATTCCCAAACACTGAGCACCACTCGCTCACCAGGCGTTGCTGTGGGCAACAGGAGGGTGATGGTAAATACAGCCCATGAGAGTCCCGGTCCCACTTCCGTCCCAGTGCGGCTGACGTTCTGGCGCCGGGACAAGGGAGGCTGGGGGCAGGTGGAGACTCCAGGTAGGGCCTCTCACCTGGTCCGGGAAGTCTACCTGCAGGGAACGAGGTTTCAGCTGATAACCGAGAGCTGGGGAGGAATCAGCCAGGTGAGGGGCTGGAGCGGGGCTGGTGTTCCTTGCAGCAGTCTCCCGCTGGCCAGGGCAGGGAGGTGACAGGCACGGCGGCGGGGAACAGAGAGAAGTCCCTTCCTCGGGAGCCCTGGGGGAGCTGAGGCCTGACCAGGGGGCAGTGGCAGGCAGTCTCGGGGCGGGGGGCCCTGCGGGCCACAAGAAGAATTTTGTCCTGACGAATGTCACAGGGATGGCCACCATGTGCAGGGACGAGGAAGGGGGCAAGAGGGCAGGCCGGAGGCTGTGGGGAGGGCGGAGCAGAGGTGAGGGGAGAAGGGAATGGATCCAAGAGATAAGACCAGCATGTTGACAGGACTTGTTTGATGAGAGGCGGAGGGAGAGGAGGCCTCAGGCCTGTCATCTAAGCAGGAGGCCGTGCCCTCCTCCCTGGGGGGCTCCGGGGACTCACTGAGGAGGGCAGGGCCCCTGGCGGCCCCCACCTAGCCCAGCGCCCGTCCCTCACCTGTCCCACCCTCCCTGTGTCTCCTCAGCCTGTCAGCTCGGCTGTGAGGGTTCCATGATCCAGCAGGGACACTGCCCCTGCCCATCGGCCCCGCTGCCCACACCGCCACACACACACGGACACACATGCCACCCCACACGTACACCACCCCACACACCATACCACACACACATCACACCACACACGCATCGTACCGTACATGCCACACGCGAAAACATACACGCCACACACACATGTCATGCCACACACACAACACAGACCACACACACACCACGCACACCACACACAGCACCACGTGCGCATAACACATATACAAACCACACACACACCCTATACGCACCACGCCCCACACACATGCCATATACATATGACACCACACACACATCATGCACGCACACCATAAACACCCCACACGACACATACCACCACACAGCACACACAGCACACGTACACCTCCCACATACACACACACAGCACACACACAGCACACATACCACACATACACCCCCCACATACACACATGCACACATACACTCAATCCTGCCGCTGCCCTCTACGTGTGCTACACTTCCTGCCTCGCTGGGCCTTCCCGACACGCCCCAGAGGAGCCCCGGGGTGCGCACGGCCCTGTCCCAGCTGGGCCTGTCGAGCCGCGTCGGTCAGTCGCGTGTGGGCCACGGCTGCTCCGCGCACCCCCTGGGTGGTGCAGCCCCAGGACCAGCCGCCCTGCGGGTGCCGCCGAGTGCCTGACTGTGCCAGGACGGTTGGAGGAGCTGCCCGTGGCTGGTGGACAGCCGGGCCACCCAATGGGCGAAGGGCTGGGGACTCTGCCGAGTGGGAGCAAAGAGCAGAGCAGCATTTCTCAGAATCTCCCTGGGCGGCCTGGCAGCCCACCGGGCCCAGCCCAGGTCTATCTGGTGATAAGATTTGGATTTGTTTCTTTCCCGAGCCCGAAGGGTGTGAGGAGGCCCGGAGCCCCGGCCTGGAGCCCCTCCGTTACCTGCGGCTGTCTGGGGCTGCTCCTCGGGCAGGGCTGTGCCGGGCACGGGAGCAGCCTGGGCCAGAGTGGCCTTGTCCATCGGGTCCTCTTCTCTGCAGGGGGGCGATGAAGGGACCCTGGGAGTGCTGCCACCCCTCCCCCGTCCAGGGCCCAACCCCCCAGGTGCCGCCTCCCTCCACCAATCCCTGCACCTACAAGGCAGGGTCCCCAGGGCCAGCCTCAGACTCAGGCAGGGTGGGGGTGGATGGGGGTGGTCCTCAGGGGGGGCCTCCCGTGCCCTGATTGTCGGCTCGGTTCCCTCTTCCTTGGCGATGGTCCATGTGTCCCCTGGTTGTGATGCATGGATGCTCTGCGTTCCCAGCTCTCCAGCCCCCCACCCCCAGCGTGGAACATTCTATCCTGACCCCTGACTCCTGCAAAATGTGTGCTGTGGGCCTAGGTCAAATCTCAGCATGGCTCTGGCTCTTGCCAACTCAGAAATCTTTCCCTTCACGCCACAGCGTGTCTGAGGCCCAGGCACACCGGGGCACACAGGGCCAGGCCCGACCAGCACTGCCGTCACTCCCGGGGCCACCGAAAACTCGTGTTTGCTCGGGACGGGCTTCACGCATGCGTGGCCTGCCCTCAGGCGTGCCCACCTCCGATTTAAGGCTCTGCTGTTGCCGTCTTTAAATCCCTCATCATTTCTGAACGAGGGACCCAGCAATTTCGTCTTGCACCGGACCCCACAAATCATGCAGCCAGTCTTAGCTCACTTGTAGCCGCCCGCCCTTTCGTGTCTTTTGCGTTGTGAGCTGCGTAGATGTGCTTTGTAAATATAAAAACTAAATGCCGCCAAGGACAAAAAACAAAGAGGCGCGTATTTATTATCTGTCGTGCACATTCAGAAAGGGCCGCTGCGTGCACTGTGGTGCGGGAGCGACTGCACGCCCGTGCAGGGCACGTGCAACGCCGCCTCGCCGACTCCCAGGACAGCGCGCCTGACGCCTGACGGCAAAACGCCCGGTCCCCCTGCCGCGAGGGCCTGTCCCAGACAGGTGTGCTCCAGGCCCACGCTGCCCCCGCCCGTGCCGGCTTCATGCTGCCGCCAGCACAAGCCGTTTCATGCTCCAGAGCCGGGCGGGGGGAGAAGAGGTCCCCAAATCCCCTTGCTGACCCCCCAGTCCCCGCCTCTAGGCGCATCTTCAGAGCCAGACGACGCTGGCGGTCCTGAGCTGACGCCCCAGCTCTGCCTGGCACCCAGGAAAGGGTGCCCCGTGTGGACAGGGGCTTGGCCGTTGAAGACCCTGAACGGACATCTGTCCGCCCCTGCAGGCCGGGCCCTCTGTCTGCTGTCTGGAGCCAGAAGACAAAGCAGACTGTGGCCTCAGACTCTGCAGGGACAGAGAAGCCAAACGCTCTCCAGGCACATCATTCTGCTATTTGCCACGGACGCCGATTTCTTGCCCGAATCACCTACGTTGCGGTTTTTGCTGGTTTCTTTCGAGGCTGCAGAAATTAGAATCTTCTGCCCCATGCCCTGAGCCGGAGAGCAAGACAAGGAGCACTGCTGCCCCCTGCTGGCCGCACCGCAGAGCATCAGGGAGCCGCCCAGCGCGCTGGGTCCCCTTTGCCTTGTCCCGTCTCTGGGACAGCAGCTTTGAGTCCTCAGGTCAAAGAATGTCCTTTCTCTGCTCCTGGAAGGTGGCCTCTCACCTTCAGGCCTTGGCCCTCGAGGCCCCATCTCCCTGGAACGTTCTTCCTCCATCTCTCAGGTGGCAGCTGCCTTCTTATTCTGTAGCTCTCAGGCCAAATGTCACCTCCCCAGGGAAGCCCTCCTGGACCACCTTGTCAAAATAGCACCGCGTCCCGGGCCCTGTCTCTCTCTCTCCCATTTACCGTGTTTCACTTCGTGCGCAGGACTTACCTGCTTTTTGGAAATACCCGTTTAAATTCCTGTGTCTGTTGTCTCCCTCCTCACCACTAGGCTGGGGGGGGAGCGGGGTCCCGGCCTGTTTTGTTTGTCAAGGGACCTCGGCGCGTCCTACGTGGCCGACACTCACACGTGCTTGTTGAAGGAGCGCATGGATGCCTATCGACAACAGCAACTGAGACGGAAACACAGCTTCCGGTCCTCAAAACCCCACTCCCATGTGGGCGGGGCACACATCACCCCCATTGGACAGATGGGCAAACTGAGACTCGGAGATTTATGTGGGTCGCCTGGGCACCCAGCAAGGAGGAATGAGCCAGAGTCGCTGGTGGCTTTTCCTGTGCTCCCTTGGCCCTCGGTCCTGGAGGGAGCGGAGGCCTGTCCCAGGCCTGAGGAGCCGGCATGCGTGTCCAGAGCCCCCTGCGTGGCCTGACTGCTCAGGCAGGCTGAGCTGCACCACTGTGCACAGTTGTGCCTGTGGCCGTGGAGACGTGCGTTCTGGAGCGGGAGCGCGTGTGGGGAGGGCAGGTGGCAGGCAAGCTGCAGCCATCGAGGGATCTGTACTTCCCCAGGCCAGGATTTGGCTGTGACACTCTGGGCTTCCTGCAGGCCCCGGAGGGCCCAGCCCGGCCCTCTGCACCCAGCCCGAGGGGTGGCACATCTGGCCCCGGGCTGAGCCTGGGCGGGCGGCGGGCGGGAGGGGTTGGTTTGTCGCCTGCTCCCGGGCAGGACGGCCAGGCCCAGGGCAGGCCCGCACTCTCTGGGCGTCCGGGGCGGGGGCTCAGCAGCAGCTACTCCTCGACGGTTCCGGCGAGAGCTTGATGGAGTCCATGAGATGATTCTCTAAGACGCTTCGGTACTGCGGGGGGAGAGGAGGAGCCAGCGTTCGCGCCTGAGAGGCGACCACCACCGCCGCCCTCGGCTTCTTAGTGGCCCCTGGAGGGTGGGCCTTCGTCCCCCCTCCTCATTGCACTGTTGGGAAACTGAGGCCCAGAGGGGGAGGCCACTGGTCTTCCCCATCTCTCTCCTTCCCCTGCCTCCCCGACATGCCTCTTCCCAGGAGCCTGGAGCAGCTCCGTGGCTGGAGCCCAGGCCCCCTGACCTCCAACCAGGTCTCAACTTCCCCTTCTCCAGAGGGGACAGCAGAGGTGACCTTCGGGCTCAGGCAGGGATGGCAACGGCCAGTCCTCAGTTCTCCTGCAAACATCCCCAAACCCCCAACCTCCTCTTCCCCTGTCCACCTCCAGCCCACGCCATCCAAGCCCTCCTCCACCCCAGTCCCACCCCACCCAGTCCCCACCCCAGTCACCCCACCCAGCCGCAGCCCCACCCCCATCCACGCATCAGTCCACCCCCAGTCACCCCACCCCCCAGTCCACCACCCCCAGTCCCAGCCACTCCCCAGTCACCCCACCAGTACCACCCAGTCCCACCCCAACCAGCCCCCACCCCAGCCACCCCACCTCCAGTCCACCACCCCCCAGCCCCCCACCCCACTCCAGCCTCTCCCACCCCCCACCAGCCCCCCACCCCACCTCCCAGCCACCCCCACCTCAGCACCACCAAGCCCCACACCCAAACCAGCCCCCAACCCCACCCCCCAGTCACCGCACTCCCAGTCACCCAATCCAGCCACCACCAGTCCACCGCACCCCAGCCACCCCACCTCCAGCCACGCACCATCCCCCAACCGCACTCCCAGTCCCCACCACCTCCACGCCGCCCAACCACCTCCATAGTCACGCCACCCACCCCCCCAGTCCTCCCACCAACCCCAGCCCACCCCACCCCCGCAGCCCACCCGCACCTCCAGTCCACCTCCACCTCCCAGCCCCACCCCACCAGTCCCACCCACCCCCCGCCACCACCTCAGTCCCACCCCACCCCAGTCCCCCAACCACCCCCAGTCCCCACCCCAAACCTCCAGCCACCCAGCCCACCCATCTCCACCCTCCAGTCCCACCACCACCAGCCCCCCACCCCACCTCCCAGCCCTCCTCACCCCCAGCCCCCCACCCACCTCAGACCCCCCACCACCCCCCACGTCCACCGCCCCTCCCAGTCACACCCACCTCCCAGCCACCCACCTCCCCAGTCCCACCCCACCCCGTCGCCAGCGGCCCCCACCCCACTCCTCAGCCTCTCCCCAACCCCCCAGCCACCCCACCCAGACCCCCCCACGCACCTCCAGTCCACACCCCCAGCCCCCACCCAGCTCCCAGCCCTCCTCGCCACCTCCAGCCACCCCCACCGGGTGCCGTCTTGGCAGGTGCTGCCACCACCGCCACTCACCCTCGCCAGCGCCCGGCCCGCCAGCATCTCGAAGGCTTGCACCACGTTGATGTCATTCTTGGCACTGACTTCAAAGTACGGAATATCCTTCTCCTCGCACCAGCCTTGGGCCAGCTCCTGCGGCACCTGGATGAAGGGAAGACATGATCACTCTCGTCAAGTCGTCATCACTGCCATCACCCCCATGGTCACGTCACCACCGTGGCCACCATCATGGCGTCAGCCTCACATAAGCACCATGACCACCATCGTTGCCGCCATGCCTGTTTATTGGGCACCTTCCACGTGACTGTAACTTCACACATGTTGGCTCTTAAATCCCCAACGCAAATCTGCAAGGTGGGTATTGTTGGCTCCATTTCACAGATGAAGAAACTGAGGCCTGGAGGGGGAAATTTCTTAAACTGTATGGGGCTGAGCAGGATTTGAACACGGGGCTGGTGGAATTAGAGCCCACTGCACTATGCTGCCTTTGTAAGCTCTAAGATCTTAGGAGATTCTTCCTGCCATTGGCTCCTTCAGTCCCTTACAAAGGGAGATGGGCACAACAGACACTAGCCAGGAAGGGTAGGAAGGGAGGACTTCGGTACTCTGAGCCGGCTGGGCAGGCCCACACTTGGGAGGCCTGTTTCTGGGCAGAGATTTGGGTTTTACCCAGGGTAGAATCCTGGGAGTTAATAAGCTCGTACTAATGGCCAGGCACTGTGTTAGACGCTTTATCAAACACTAACTCATCTCAGCCTCTCAATGACCCTGTGAGATGGGTGTTACTAGCTCCACTTTCTAGACAAGAGCACTGAGGCCCAGAGAGGTTCAGCAACTCGCCCCTGACCACACAGCTGGGAGAAGGCAGAGCTTGGAGGCAGCCCCGGCTCGGCACTCCCCTGGCGTCTGAGCTGCCCTCTGCAGGGGACCGTGTAAGAACCATGCTCCTCCTTTTCCATGCTTCTCCCGCTAGACTGTAGGTTCCTTGAGCTCAGAGTCCAGACCCTTTCAGCTCTTGGCCTGCCACCCACGAGCCGCGCAGCACAGGTGAACGAACACACCTCTACCCAAGTGCAAACGGCTGATGACGGTTTGGGGATGTTGGATTGGAAATGCTCTGGCAGCAGCATTTTGAGTTACTCCCAAAGACGACTGGTGCCACTGGGTTTGACGTCCAGTTATTTCGGGGAAAGGGAAATGATGACGTATCGAGCACTTTCTGTGCCTGGTATTTTATAACCATTATTTCAATCTATTTAAGGTCTCTCTTGCAGAGAAAGGACCATTCTGCCTCCTCCCAGAACACAGTGCAGGCAGGGGGAGATCAGAGGCTGCCCCCGTTCAAATCCTGCAGGTCCTGGGGACATCTATCTTACTGGGATAAAAAGTAGCATCACTGTCCTCTGTCTCTTTGGTCCTCGATTCCTTGGCCTCAGAAGTGACAGGAGGGCCCAGCGGCTGGTGGCTTTCTTTCACAATGCCTCTGTTGTCCACCAGCGGTACTCTGGCATCGTGAGGCTCACACCCCATGAAGGCCAGGGCCAGCCTTGGGGAGCCCAGGGGACACCCACATGCCCAGGAACAGCCGAACTTGAGCACAGCAGGGAGAGTCCTCAGGCCTTAGCCTTGGCCTCTGACCTCTAGGAGGAGTGACCCCAGAATTGGCCAAGAGTACTCCCTCCCGTGGGGCGTAGATGCCCAAGGTCTGGTGTGTAGCCAAGAAAGCCCCGCAGCTCTGGCAAAATCCTGAGCTATCTATCTGGAGGAAGAATAAAGGATGGCCGGGCCACTGAATATTATTGCCTTTGCTGGTAACATGCACATAAATAATCATTAGAAATTAACACCTTATACCTTGATAGCATTTTAAGAACCAAGGGTTTTGTATCTTTTTAAGTCTCTATTTGTTTTATATGAAAGGACTGAATACAGATTCCAAAATATCAGTGGAGACTATGTTGCAAATGAACATTCTTTTTATATCTCCCCCGCTACTCAACCTCAGAAAGTTGGCTTGGGAAGAAAACCACCCAGACAGTACTTTTCTCTTTTCTCTTCCAATTCCAGCTACGGTTCCATGATTTAAAAAATCATCTCATCTTTTATTTATAAAATGAAGGTTATTTATAACTTAGGCTCTACCTCCAGAAATAAGGACATGAGAAGTATGAACACTCCGGAAGTGTCACTTTCATTAATTCTGCTTTTGGTTGACAATATACTATTACCGTTTTACTTTTCTTATTACAGTTTTGCTGGCTCATTGGGGGCCATACTTTTGACAAAACTAGTTCAGTTTACACCATTTTATTTATAATGTTTTCCATCTCATATGCATCTAAAATGATGGATTATACAAGCGTTAAAATTAGCATGTCAAATACTAATGACTAAACCATTATTAAAAATAACAAAGAATATTTTTAGGAACCATGATCCTAATTCTATGAATCAGTGGTAAGTCAGAAATTACCTACCTGAACATAGACCATAGAATTCACATCCCAGTGAATAAATTCCTTATAGCATAGATGCTAGCAAAGCTTTCTAATAAATGAATTTTTTTTTTTGCACTATTACATTCTATAGAAGGAATAGGGACATTTTTAAAGCTAAGTCAGTAAGTTCTTTAAAATCATTCTGGCAAAAAAGTATATACACGAATATGTACCCATATTTATGTATATACACATATACACACACATGTGTGTATATATACTTGTGTGTGCTTTCATTGTGGTAAAATATACAGAATATAAAATGTACCATTTTAAGCATGCACTTCAAGGGCATTAATTAGTTATATTCACGTGGTTGTGCAACCATCACCGCTATTCATCTCCAGAACGTTCTCATCTTCCCCAATCTAGTTATATACATACATATATATATATGTGTGTGTGTGTGTGTGTATATGTGTGTGTGTGTATATATGTATATATATATATATATAGGACAGGGTGGGGATAAGTGGGTCTTGCTGTGTGGTCCAGGCTGGACTTGAACTCCTGGCCTCATGTGATCCTCCCACCTCAGCCTCCCGAGTAGCTGGGGTGACGCGGGTGCACCACCGCACCTGGCATCTAGCAATATATTTTAAAATATTCATTGTCTTTGTATTAAGCAGGAAAGGCTGCTGTGTTTCCCCAGCCCATCCACTGGAGATGGTAACAAGGAGGGTAACGGTCGTATTGTTTCCTTTAACGACTTCTCAGGAAGTCGGTGTTCTGGTCTCCACCCCACTGACTCTGCCCCTCCTGCGCCACCTCCCTCCAAACGCTTTCACAGCCTACCTTGTTGAAAGACAGACTCCCCTCATCCTCCATGCCCCAGGGTCCTCCCTCCCCCTCCCCGCCTGGCCGAGCCCTGGCTCTTCCTGGGGTCACCACTGTCCTCTTGCCCTCTCCGCTGGGGCGGTTTGCAGGCTCTACACATGCAGGTCCCAGAGAAGTGGTGGCTTGCCTGGTCCTTCGCTGCCCCTTTCAAACCTTTGTTCCTCCTCTCTCTGCAAATCAAAGCTCACCCCTAACTTCAGGCTTGGATGGGACCCCCCGACCCTTGGGAGGCATCACTGCCCTTCTGGCCCTGCAGGTGCCCCTCCTGCATGGGACTTCGCAATCCACACAGGCCTCCTCCTCCCTCAACAAATGGCTGCCCTCCCACCCTCGGTCCGGGTCAGCCTTGTCTTCCCAGGGCCCCTGCGCGACACGAAACCTGGCTTCCCTGCTCCCTCTCTTAGACCAGCTCAGGATTCTCACCTGCAGCTGGCCCCAGTGGGGAAAAGAAAGGGAGACACCTTGGCTTTGAATGACCTGAGGCTGCATATTTGTAATTAGAGAGTTGACACTGAGTTTCCAACCGGGAAGTGACCACAGAACTGGTGACTGCTAGATATCTCTTAGATAGGGGCATCTACCCAAACCCAGAATATAGGACTGGCTTCCTAGAATGGACTTCTCCTTCAAAACTTCATTCTTATGTATTCCAAAGCCTGCTGGTCATCTCCAACTAGTTGTTCTACAAGCGTCTCAAACTCAGCACGTCCAAACCAAACACATAATGTTATGACAGGTAGCTCTCTTTCCCGGTGGTGTGCTCAGTTAAGAAGCATCGTCCCTCCCTTCCTCTCCCTCTCACTTCCCTCTCCCTTCCTGTTCTCACCTCTTCTCCTCCTTCTATCCATCAACATACACTTAATTGGAGCCGAAATAAACCTCTCCTACTGCTTTTCTCTGTTTGAACCACTGTGAAACTGG